CTGCGACAAGGTGCGCGTATCAATGCGAAGAGCTGAGCATGTTCACTCATTCAAATCTATTAAATTGGAAAACTGGGCTCCGATTTCTCAGCTTTCCAAGATGGATTCCTCAGATAGTCAAAAGAAGCATTTCCAACAAGGAGCATTTTTCACAAAAGAAGCGTTCTTGTATTTTGCCAATAATGCACAATTTTGTTTGCATGACCTAGAACATGAATGGATCAGATTGCTTTAGAAGGTCAAGGAATAAAGGGTGTTCCCAAAACAAAACTGTGAATAAGACGGGCAGGAAGTTTAGCATTGTAAAATCCTGAACAAAAAAGACGGACGACCATATTCTACGCGACTCAAGTCTGAATGGGGCCATACTGCAGAAAAGGCCCAAAAGGCAGGTTTAGCGAATACATGCGCGACAAAATAAGGCACCGTAGGGCAAGCGTTATCAAAACTACCCTCCAATACTGAGCTGCTCAGACAATCGACCGGACCCCTCCGCCGGACAGTCCGAATCTGCCAGAGTCGCGCCGGACCCAGTTGACCAATGAGAGAGGGGCAAATGGGCGGTCCGTCGCGGTGACATCACTGGCAGGCAAGTGGGAGGCTTCTCCGGCCCTGCTGCAAAGGTACGCCATTTCTCCGGCGCGACTCTGCCAGATTTGGCGGACTCGCGTCGGAGAAATTTGCCCGGCGCGAGTCCGCCAGATTTGGAAGAGCCGCGCCGGAGAAAATCGGAGGGGTCCGGAGCAGAAATGGGAGGCCTCCGGAGCAGAAAATGGGAGGTATCCGGAGCAGAAAATGGGAGGTATCCGGAGCAGAAAATGGGAGGTATCCGGAGCAGAAAATGGGAGGTATCCGGAGCAGAAATGGGAGGGCCCCGGAGCAGGCTGCGTATCGATTTGGCGCGTAGCAAGCAAACGTCTAACTCCACGGTGATGAGTCCTCTGTTTACGCTCTTTCTCCATATTTTAGTCGTCGTTTCTTTGATTTTGTTGGTTTTCCGCGTTTCTTTACCGTTTTTTTTTTCTTTTCCGCGTTGCTCTTCGTCGCGTTGGCGTTTATGTTGTTGTAAGTTCCTCGTTTTCAGGTTTATGTTTCAAATTTTCGTGCGGTTGCACTCAATCACTCTCAGTGTTTGGCTCTTTTCGACTTGCTGAGACATCGCAGACTATTGATGGAGTGGTTTTTGTGATTATTTCTGGATTTTCGAAACAATGAGGTTAGTTGCGCAACTTTCAAACCAGTGTTTACTAGCCAGCATGGAACGAGGTCAAATTTACCCTGTATTCTTACCTTAATCCAGAGCATTTGCATCACCTCAAGGTAAATACTGTAGAGGAATTCATCGCACGTAATAGGCGTCACTGCGGACGCTGTCGGCGTCTCGCTTGAGCGCTCTTTCGTACCTCTTGCCGTCTGCTGTCTCTCCCATGCACGAATTATCTTGGTCGGACGCAATGACGTCCAGTCTGTGCATCTGATAAATCGCCTATACCTTTAGTAGTGTAAGCGGGTTGATGGCTTTTTGGATCGATTTATACCTCAGATGTGTCTTATGCAACTCGAAATATGCGTAATTGATTGTGTCTATCTTGTGCATGATTACGAGTATGCGCACTGGAAGTATATTTTAATCCTTAATATATGTTGATAGATACGGACGCAGAGCCTGCTGTTTTGATAGAGGTTCTCGTCACATCTTTATACCAACTCAAAGAATCTTTGCGCACTTGAACGTTTTATTGCACACAATTCATCTTGAGGATATCTCCCGTAATGTCATCATTTCATTATCATGACATTTCAGGACACGGGATCCTGCCGTACTTGCCAAGTGCGACGTTATCGTTGACGTGTGTATACGATCATTCGGAGAAACGATACGACCATCACCAATTGTAGGTCTTGCTTTGCATGCTGTTAAGTTTGAGTCTCCTACAGTCATGAAGATCACACAATTAATGTTAGTAATTCCATAATCGTGCTGTTTTCAGAGAGTTCAATGAGACGATGCAGACATTTGGGCCTGGATTCTAACTCTAGACTCAATTCAGCTGGATTGATCTAGGCTCATTATGGAAAACAACTGATTGCAGAGGTAAGCATTGTCAGTCAGGGTTAATCTTTCTTGTTCAGTTTATTATCGTCAGATACTTGAATCCTTTCACGACGATAAGATGGTGTATATATTTTTTCGAAAGCTTTACGAAACGTTTGTCGAAGCCATAGATGCTATCGATAACGGCATACCACAGTATGATGGCACACCCAGGTAAGAGCCTTGTCAGTATCCATTTATATCTTGCTTGAAGTTTTATTTTTTTTTCGAATAACGTTTTGGTTGAGAATCATGCTTTAATCATCAACATATTGTATGGTGATTTCTTCCTATCTATATTGATTTGGCTGTGGTTTTGCTGCTTCAACATATGACTTTGAAAATATCAAACATCTGAGGCGGTATGCATCAATCTCCCGTTTTGAAAGCGGGCGGTCATCAATAGTAAAATGATTGCCCGGCCGGGTTGGCCGCCCGACCCGTAATGTACGAAGCTGCGGCCAACCCGGCCGGGCATTCATTTTTTATTGGAAATGATCGCCCGCTTTCAAAACGGGAGATTGATGCATATCGCCCCTGGTGGACTTTCTGGTCGTGTCAATCATGTGAGTCCCTACTGGAACGAAACTGACCCCAAACCCGACGAGAGGTTTCAACAAGCTATAGATCTTGTTGGAGGTTAGTCTGGGTGAACCGCAGTCAAGGTTTTGGCTGTTTGACATCACCCATACTGTGTTTCACCTTTGATTGCATGTTTCTCGCGCAACTGCGTTTGTGCGGTGAGAGTCGCGTGGCGGAATGTCTTGAGTCAGCACGGTAACGCAGGTCATGCTATCATCATTTATAGTGCAGCTTTGAGATCACGCTAGATTAGGCGATTTTACAATGCTGGTTGAGGAGCTTTCTAATCTCTGCGGCATTGACGGATGCATACAGTCTGCCCCAATCCTAACCAGGCCAAAATCGGCATGGCGGGAGTCCGCGCTGCGAGGGTTTGGCGCCACACCTGCGCCTAGCTAGTCTGCTCTCTCCTCGATCTGTTCACTCTCTGCGACAGCGCGCATATGCAGCGCAATCCCCTAGCGCTGCGAGCGCGCAAATTCAGCCGACGGTTCGGCCTGATCCCGATTGAGGCAGACTGTATTTGTGCACGTGACAGGTACATCTGAAATTTCTCATATTTTTTGCCAATTTCTCCATTTTGTGGTATTTAGGGTTTATCGGAGGTAACAAGGCATTCCAAGGAGCTCTAGCTATGGCAAAGAAGGCGCTCGAAATTGGAGATGCGGAGATTTGTGTTAACGTTGCATTTAAGTAATGGAGTGCAAGAGCATCGTGCTTTTGCTGGCCCAACAACTTTGGAAGTATCAGAATGAGAATTTTTTCTTCTGGATGATATCCCGAGTGATTTGGATACAGGGATCGGTTCATAATATTTGATTGAGTTGGTTGTTTGGAGTCAGGATAACGATAAATGTTTCAGCTAGCAGCAAGATCTGAAAATGGACAGGAGATAAAGAAAATGAAACTGGACAATGAGCAAGCAGTGAGCAGTACTGAACAAGCAGTAAGCAGTACCGTGGAACCTGCTCATTAGGATAGTTTCTGATAGAGAACAGAAATCTTTCAACTCTTCCCTTGTCTTTACCTCATCACAGCTGCATTCATTTTTCTTCCCACCGTCGTGGTATCTGTATAGTATTTCTTGTTTACTAAGTATCGGTCATGCCGTAGGACGCTCTCGTAGTCGAAATATTGTTCAAGTTGCTCTTGCTATATTCTCTAACTGTGATTCTCTGTAAAGTATGGTGATTCCGTTTATCACGTCGTATAACTACTTGTCGAGTTCTAATTCAAACTGTGTCTACCAAAAACTTCCGCCCAAATTCTTGATTATGCTAATTTTTTCTTCGATCATGAGTAAACTATTAATCGGGTGTTTGCAAACTTGGGTCGCGCTGAACTCCTACTCGGGGGGGGGGTCCTATTCGGCTAATTTGGGTGGGGTTTAGAGACAAAATTGGGGTTTGGAGCTTAAAGGCAGCGTCCAGGCAAGTCTGGACCTATGGGGATTTTACATGGAAAGTACTTTTGGGGCCCTAACTAACCCACTACCCAACTGGCAGCTCAGGTAGTGCTGTAACGCCTGACATATTCTGCTCGAAACTGGACCCCGCGACCGTGTTTCGCATGGATTCATGGCGCAAAGCGTGGATCCTGGCGCGAAACTGCCATGAATCCATGCGAATACGTTCGCGGGGGTCTGTTTCGAGGGGAATTCCGCCATTAGAGCACTACCTGAGCTGCTGCTTCGGCAGTGCCTTAGTTAGGGCCCCAAAAGTACTTTCCATGTAAAAGCCCCATAGGTCCAGATCTGCCTGGAAGCTGCCTTTAATTAGGGCTAATTACAGTATGCCGCGGCAGACTTGCGGAGCACAAAATCGGGGGCTCCGGCGCACAAAATCAGGGGGCTCCGGAGCAGAAAATGGGAGGTATCCGGAGCAGAAAATGGGAGGTATCCGGAGCAGAAATGGGAGGTCTCCGCCGGAGAAATGGGAGGGCTCCGCCGGACAAATGGGAGACCCACCGCTGGGGAAACGCCGCGACCCTGCCATTTCTCCGGCGGAGGGGTCCTATCCGCTGCCTGAGTGGAAACTGCGTCAGCATTCAATGCGCTTCTGAAATCTTGCCCTAGAAGATCATCCGCTTTGGGCTACGGCAAATCATATGAACAAGGTTTGCTGCGATTCTACAGGCAATCTCAGAGTTGGAGAACTTTCTTGGGACCAAACTCTTTGAGCTTTTGCAAAATTCAATTGAAAATATGACGGAAAACGCTGTGTGCATATATACACTATTGACTGTAATTTTACAAAACTCTGTCATTCCGATAGTTTATGAAAACTTCACAAACTTATAAGACGACCTATTATTACAGTAAGGTATGTCCTACAAATTGGTCCTTCTTATCGTCCTGCTCCAAGTGTGCGCTGTATGCTCTACGGGTTGTTGGGATTGGATTAAAGGATGTTTCAAAGATTCGAGTGACGATCGTCGCGAATATATGGAAAACTATAATAGGGTTGGTTTCAATTTGTTGAGGTTGTAAAGAAGTATCAGTAAGTATATTATTACAGTGCAAGGACCAATGTAAGAAAGCACATCCACATCGATCACATCCTAAAGATAAGAATAACTTCAACGAATGCCTCGAGAAATGCATGAAGAGATGGAATAATCGTGAACTCGAGCATAATCGCCGCAGGAGACTCTGATGCTTATATTGAACTTAGACTTGATATAATTATAGCATCGTGCATATATCTCTTCCATCCATTTAAAAACCACAGCCACTTGAACACGACAAGCACTTTTTACTCTTCACATTAATAAAGGATAAAGAATTATAGATTTGGCATTTTTTTACCCCTTTGCGGGCATGCACCGACGCACTTTATTTCATAGTCAAAGAGGCTACCGAATCTGTGCATGCCTATTACAGGTGATTTGAGAGGACCATCCACCAAGTCAGTGCTTTTAACCTTCCAAATTAGTTTGGTACCAATTTTCCGTACCCGAAGGATAAAGAGCTTGGTTGGTCCAAAGAGGCTTGGTTTGACCTGGTCATAGATGTGTGTCTCATGCCACTATGCCACTTTCAGTCTCAGTCTGCACATTAGTAAGCTCAACATTGTTTCAAAGGTTTCAACATTCCTCATACTTCCTAGATTAAGAAACACTGCTATATTGCACAAGCATTATAGAAGCTTTGCAAAAAAGTTCTTTTTTACGTCACATGTGAGCAAGTGTGCAAGGAAAAGTAGAAATTATAGGGAAAACAGAATATTAATTTTGCGGTACGAGTGCCATGCTAGTGCGGAGAGCAAATTCAGCGTAAGATGTTTTGGCTTACAAGGGAGGTGTTTTCGGTCGAAGTGGCCCTTTCACATGAAATTGATACGACTATAAAGAGCATCAAACGCTGATTCCAAGTCTGTCTTCATTATCTGCCGAGCGCCTCTAGACGTCGAGTTATGAGCGTCTTTTGAGTTGAGTAATTAAATGCATAATTAGGACAATATCATCAGATTTGCTCAAATGGTCCAATGTGTATTATCAAAGCACTTTATTTGAATAATGCCTTCTATCTGAAGCACTCATACTCAACACTGCTCTATTTGAGAGCTGAGAAAACCGTAAAATTTTAATTTACTTAAATTATGCGTTCATTTTTCGCACCAAGAAAATATTCATAACTCGACGTCTAGAGGCGCTCGGCAGATAACGAAGACAGATTTGGAATCAGCGTTTGATGCTCTTTATAGACATATCAAATTCATGTGAAAAGGCCACTTCGACCGAAAACACCTCCCTTGTTAGTTGGACTTCGAGTAATTTGCAATGAGAGTAAAAATACTTTTTTTACTCATCTAAGGCTACCATACCCTTCATATTCTCTCCCCCCCCCGTGTGCATCCATGAATCACATGAGTTTTCAAAAATTTCTTACTTCTCCTTTGATTTTTCGTCCTGTGCATACGAATTTTGCTCTAATCCGTTTTCTCCTGTAGCTGATTTGTGGACATTTGTTCGGTAGAAATTCAAACATCCCGCGCCTAGTATCGTGTCACCTGAAAGCAGTGGTTCTGTCTGAAGTTGTTTTGGAAAGGAGTGGCTGAGGATATGGCAAGAAGTTCATATGGGGGTATATACGCATATTTCCGACTTCCCTTCAGCAACAATATTTAATGGTAGAAACAATCGTGGCTTGTTCAGCATTACCGCATTTGAGCACTGACTTTGAGAAACATTATGCGAAAATGAAAGATGCAAATACATGAGGCTTACGCTGAAAGTGCTTGCATAGAATGTTAATACATTGAACACTACTTCAGTACGCTCGTGATGTCTTTCCGCTTTTAATCATATTTGTGAGAGATATTCCGTGCCTTCTCGTTTTTTCTCAACTAGCAGTCTTAATCAAATAATGAAGGTGAGTCGGTACGTGGCAGGTGGAGGGTAGAGCTTCGATCGCTAATTGAGTCCGAGAAATGATCAAAGAGCACGCTCGCGGGAGAGGTGCAAAACTCAGTGCCTCACTCACCACCCGCCACTCCCAGTGATACAGAGGGTAATTAACTTTAGGTCTTCCGAAAAATCCAAATTTCATCCCAGAAAGGCCTCTTCGAACGATCACTTTTTTCCTTGTCGACTGTGAGTATTTCTGTTTACTGGTAGGACATCCACTGGCGTAATTAATAAGGAATGAACTCTTCTTGTGCCGCCCGCCCCCCAGTCGTGTAATGCTTTCTGATTCTCTGACAATTTCATGAGCTTCCTAACCACGGAGGGACCCAAAACTGAAGTAGCTATTCCCAACAAGCTGTATAACGTTAGATGCTCCACGGAACGCTGTCTTCAAATCGCTTTCCTTACCTGCCCAGAGTCATATAGACAAAGATGAGCAACTCTGATTAAGGAAAAGGTATATAAAAAGCACACTTCAAAATATAAATTCATGATATCCCATGTTCGGCTTTGAATGAATCTTGGCATGGTGATGAATCCTTATGTGCAGTTTTTAAGCCTTGACCAAGATTGTTACAACTCTTTTATTAGGCTTACGTTTCGGCTGATTCGCCTTCTTCAGAGCCTAAAAAGTGAGCAGTAAATGAAATCTACCCTCCAGTTGTCCTATCGTCAATATCTTACCCAGAGACACCACCGTACGTGAGTCAGATCAACACCACTTTGATATCTCTATATCAATTCTGTCGCGAGAATCAGAAGTGGCGGCGCGAAAAACATTAGAAGCCTGCTGGATTTCCGTTAGGAATCCAAAAATGAATAGGAAAGAGGAATGCATCGCCATCACAAACGAACTCGCGCCGTTCCTGGAGTTATGCGGGTTTGACCAACACCCTCATACCCAGGTGCCGTAGCTCATTAGTCACTCAACGCATGTCAGTGGTGGTCTGCAGTCCTCACTCGGCAGGTTTAAGGTGAGCTGTTTATAGGCATTCACAACTTTCCCTTTTCCTGTGACGATAGGACAACTGGAGGGTAGATTTCATTTACTGCTCACTTTTTAGGCTCTGAAGAAGGCGAATCAGCCGAAACGTAAGCCTAATAAAAGAGTTGTAACAATCTTGGTCAAGGCTTAAAACCTGCACATAAGGATTCATCACCATGCCAAGATTCATTCAAAGCCGAACATGGGATATCATGAAGACAGTACCAGCCGAGTACTTTCGACTTGTAAAGGAAGTGCTATCGCTAAGACAGAAGATAGTGTCTACGAGACAAGCGACACACTTCTTGCACCGCTGTCTGGACCACCAGTTAATCCCAAACTTCATCAAGAAGAAGCGACTATACCAGACATGCGGTCTTCCAAAAGACAGCCGGCAGATACATCAATTCGAACTGCAACTCCTACGGACGGCACTGAAGACCAAAAAAGATCATATGTATACGTTGACTATGAAGTGCATATCAAAAGAATCGAGTTGTCAGCGATTTCTGCCGAGTAGTCTTTGGAAGGGTATAGAAAGTGAGTCAAAGAGTATTTGTGATTCTATTCGTTCCGTTGTCAAATCAAAATTACAGGAAAAGTTCGATAAGTTGTTAGAAAACCAGTCACGAATGCCTAATATCTTACCCAGAGACACCACCGTACGTGAGTCAGATCAACACCACTTTGATAATATCAGTGATAATGAGCTCAATCCATCGCGAGTGACTGTGATTGGCGGTGCGACATTGTCAGCAAGTGCGCGTTCTCTGCTCAGTTTGGGACCATCTTTCTCGCCTACGCAATCGATGACCCCTGCGGTCGCACGAAAAATTGTGGGGAGCCTGCAATATGTCCAAGATCGCCTGCGATATAAGGCTAAAGTGGAGACGCAGCAAGTCAATCAGCGATCGATAGATACAGCCATGCCGGTGGTGCCATGTATTTTAAACCGCAAGAAGCAATGCCCTCAGTAGATGCCGCTTTCCGGGTTTTCGCTACCTCAGTATTCAGCGTACTTAGAACACATATGCGCATGCACCAAAAATCGAATCTTACACCAGCGCAAATCAGGGGTCTCAAGGAACTACGGGATCTCGTAAGTACAAATGTCATCAGAATAAGCGTTAGCGATAAGGGAGGTGAATTCGTCATCATGCCTAGGGAGCTAGAGACCGCAATTACTAGACAGCATTTACAAGACGAAACAGTATATTGCATATCATCCGAAAAGGAATTCACCAAACAGTATCGTAAACTAAACAGGCTCTGGGTGGAAACAGCGCGTACGGCGGGCCTCGCTAAGAACATTATAAAGCGACTCAAGTGTGACCTACCAGTGTGCCCTGTCCTCTACGTTCTTGTAAAAACACACAAAATACCTCCTGACCTGCTTACCTCTATGGATCCTACGGTTTTTAAAGTTCGACCAATTATAAGCAGCGTTAGAGGACCTACGGACAGGATTGCCTGGCTCCTTAACGTCATTCTCACACAGTTGCTGCGATATGTTCCCGCGCATCTTACTAGTACAAACGCCCTACTAGAACGCTTGCGTACTACACAGTTCAGTGACGGCGAGGTCATTGAATCCTTTGATGTAACATCATTATATACTAATGTGTCAAATTCCGCTGCGCTGCAGGCTGTATTCGAATTGTTAAGTGATAACATCAACAGCATAAGCTTGTTCGGCTTCACAGTCCAGCAAATAATGGTGCTACTACAAGGATGTTTAGACTGTTCAATTTTCCGCTGGTCAGGGCAGTACTTTAAACAACTAAGGGGACTAGCCATGGGGCAACGCTTGGCACCTGCCTTAGCTATAAGCTTCATGTCCAAAATAGAAAATTGCGTAATTTCCCGCGGACTTACCCTCTACTGCCGCTACATCGATGATTGTCTCATCGTTTGTCCCACACAGGCAGAAATGGATGTCTGCTTCGATCTACTCAACAAGCAATCAGCTGACATAAGGTTCACCAGGAAAAGACCAAAAGACGACTGGTTGCCATTCCTCAATGTTCAGATAAGCCTGAATAGGAGGGAATGTAAAACTAGCTGGTACAGGAAGCCCATTAGCAAAAATATCTTGATACACTACTCTTCTGCGCACCCTATCCGTACAAAAACCAGCGTGATTGGAAATATGCTTCGTACGGCCAAGAGGGTGTCATCTGATGGCATTCTTAAAGCCGCATCAGTCAGTAAGGCACTCCAGATTGCGCAAGCTAACGGATATGAGCCCAGAAAAGTAGTGCG